TTCCAGAAAACAACGTTCACATTAGGTCAGTGTTTCTTGGTTTAGGTGTGTTCGTAATGTAATGTGAATGGAGTTGGGGATAATAATTGATTGAATTGTTTTATATGTATTCCAGAGATACATAGCAGTTGTATCCCTGCAGCACTTCATTTACTCCTAATTCTGAGAGAAGTTCTTTTACTTCCCGAGTCATGGCTTCTATCCTGGAGTCCATGTCTTTTGGATGGAGTCAACCTTGTAACCCATCAGTCTTAATCTGTCCTATCAAAAATCACTAAAATTAGTTCATGAATCAAACTTATAGCTCAGTTCTAATCACCCGTGGGACTTTTCCTAGAATCTCCAGGAGATATAATCTTATTGCTGCCATTCTTTGAGTCTTCTAGCCAGTGTGGACAGCTAACCTGAGAATGAAGTCAACATGGAGGACAGAGATGCACTCCTGGTGAAGAGGGTCAAGCTTCTTGACTCACCCACACTCAAAATCAGTTACTCTGAATATCTCATCAGTGAAACCCAGAGAACATCACCTTTTTTTCCCTGTTTATTTAGTCCCAGAGAAGTTTCTGTCCCTGGCAGCCGAGCATTCTGGCTGATTCCCTTTCTGTTATTCATTGACTGAAGCTGCTGCATGCCATGTGGTCATGCCATCTAGCTTTCTCAGACTCATAAAGTGAAATTGTATGACTTAGGGTTCAACCAGCAACCAGCTGGCACACCAAAACAGAGCAGCACGAGGCCCGTTGATGTACAGAGGTGTGGGGCTGGGTAGAGTCTGAAGAACCACTGTCATCTCAGGTCCTCAGGACCCGTGAAGTAGCAGTGATGTACAGGAGAGTGTTGGGAGAAGATTCGCTGCTCTTTTCCTGGCCAGCATTCTCCTGCTGGGGCTTCCTGTCCACTGACCCAGAAGGAGGACAAAGCCAAGTGCTGTGGCCCATGGAACATACCCTGAGAAAGAGGCAGCTGGATGGAGAAGGGAGGACAGAGCTGAGGGGCGTGGCAGGTGAGTTCCATCTTGGGTTGTTTCCAAAATGAAACAGGAATTGATGAAGGAGTTGGGATGAGGTGACCTTGCGATTCCATATGTGGGTGTGGGAAGAGGAGGAAAAAGTTATTTTATGTTTCTTTTCCTTCTTATGTAAAGTTTCAGTTTATTAGGAATACATGGTTGGGCTCAAGACATTTTGCTGTTTTTTAATAACATGTGGGAAAGGGGTAAACTAATTTACTAGTTAAGCGAAATAATTCAGTTGCTCACATTATGCTTGAAGATCTTTTTTCAGTAATTATGCTGGTCTTTTGTCTTTGTGTCCTTTTTGGAAATGAAAGTATATATATAATGTGCTTAGAAAAACCGGAACAAGGCCACATTATTTATTTTTTCTTTACAGTATCTGCTAAGTACAGGACCGGTATTTTATCTGGTTTCTCCAATGGATGAATAGCAATTTGTTTTGATACTGGAAGAAAAGCTGACCCTGTGAGACATTGCGAGACAACACAGCATGTTCAAAACGACACACACAGCTTTTAAGGCAGATTTAAGGACTGTTTCAGAGTCATTTGGCCTGTGCAATTTTCCCCCCACTGACTTAATTGCTAAGTAAGATGTGTCTACATTGCATGGTGCGATAGAATCTTCAGGAAGAAAATATGCATAACAATATGCAAGTCTTATTAGTTTAACAAATGCGTGCTTAATTTCTATCCTTTTATTAAAACTATGTCCTTAGAAAGACAAAATGCATTTCTATATGATTCTACATGATGGTAATGATGGTGTCTCTGTTTCTGTCTCTTTCAGAGAGGAAGCAAACTGAGTAACTGGGTGTCCCCTGCCCCATGTCAGGACACTTCCCCTGTGCCTTGCATCCAGGGAGGTTAAGAGGTGGCCTGCACAGTGGCACACATGCCCACTCAGTAAGGGTACCCCTTTGTGCCTGGGCCTCACTATTATTGTGCACCCCCAGAACTCTGGCTTGGCTGCTATGGATTCCAAAGTGCGTGATGTGTCAAGATTGTATTCAATCCCAAATGATTTCCCAGTGAGGGGTTTAGCCCATGGCACTAAAAATAGGCTTCCTGGAAAAGAATGCAAACCTCATGGTCTTCATTGTCTTCACAAAATCCATTAGAAATCTTACCAAATGGAGATACAGTTTCAAGTGACATTTTTATTGGTTGTTCAAGAATACCTGCCAAAGTCTTAAGGCAGGCATTTCATGCTCTGGAAGCCCTCCTGTAGGCGATTTCCCCACCAAGGCAGAACAGTGGGACACTTGCCACACTCATTCCTATTCCAACTGGTACAAATTCCCTTTATTTTCATCTGTACTGGTGCACTGCTATCTTTATATATAGTAGAAGAGTTAAAAAATTAGGGATTTGACCCAGAAAAAGAAATTTGCTTCGCACCACTCATGAGAAGTACAAAGTTTCATTTCACTCTAAAAATAGTCTTTTCCATTTTTGCTCCAACTTTTTATGCTGGCTTCAGCAGTGCAGATACTATTCTTTTCCATTTTTGGAGTTCATGTTATGGTAGGAGACACTTAATATATAGTCACATTTACATTTTATTCATGCAATTTAGAAAAAGACTCATATATTTTAGCTCAGAAAATTCTCTTTCTTGCCCCTGATAAATCTACTTATTTATTTATGAATTTGCATTGTAAATTTTGATCTTTGTTTCTCTATATTTCTTATATAATTGGCCACTCCTTTCCTAACCTAGCTACAAACAGATCCATCTTTTGTCTGGGTAATCAATCAGCAGTGACATAACCGATATCTCTGTGTCCACTTTTACAGCCCATACCTACTTTGCTCTGTATCTAGGTTCAATTTTCAAAAGACAAATCACAGGGCATGCTACTCCTTAAGTCCTTTGGCAGCTCCCTTCTTCTTGTCCTCAGGATGAGGTCCAAGGTTGTACTCCCTGGTCCGCAGGGCTCTCCTGGAAGTGGCCCTTGCCTGCAACTTCTGCTCATCCTTGCCTCTGTCTTCTGCCTTCTTTCCTGTTCACCCAACCTGGACCTCGTCAGCTCCTTGAACACACCGAGAAGCTTCTCTGCCTTGCCTTCTCATATTTTCCCTTCACAAGGCTGTTTTCTAAATTGCTTAGCTCTCTTCCATTTTCCTGTTAGGTGTTAACTCAAATTGCTTTTCTCAGCCCCCTTATTATATCCTTCCGTGCAACCCATCCTTCCTCTCTCAGGATCCTCTTCCTGAATGCAATTTCTGTCTTTTCTTTTAGGATGATATGCGGAGCCAGTTCAGGTTGCTTCAGAGCCCAGAGTGTTTGCAGACCTACAAGGAAATGGCCCTGCTGTTTAGCGCATATCCACAACGGGATACACTCGTATCTGTAGGACTTAGCATAGAACACTATGCCTTGCTACATGGTTATGTCAGTACCTCAGGATGCAGCACTTGATCTGTGTAGGGGCTAAGCATTAAAGATGCTTTCCACTGTTTCTAATGTTGGCTTTCCATGCTTTATTTTTTGTGGGGAACTTGTGAAAATCCTCCTTTAGCTTCCTCAATCCCGACAAATGGTGTCATCATTGGCAGGATGAGGTGAGTGTCATCTCATCTGTGGAAACAGTGCGTGGTGGCAAGGGAGAGCCATGGGAGGTTGCCAATGTGCTTACCCTGCCTGTACCTAGTTACCTATAGCTATCGTTTTGGCAGCAAGAAAGGTTCCTGAGGTCTGAGAAGTAGTCCACCTGACATTGTGAGATGTGTTGAAGGCTTTAGAAGTGACAGACATACAAATCTCTGACTCCCACCATGAGTCAGTGGGATGCATGGCTTGGTTGTTTTTCACTCCTTTCTGCTGTGTGGGACAAGGGGCAGCAAACCTCCTCCAGGAGGTAGTCCAGCTGCAGGAGGCTGATGAGGCCTTGGAACCATGGCTGGCGGCTACAGAAGTTATGTTGTGGGGCCTAGAGAGTACCACCTCTTCCAGAAGTGTAAAACCATTGTCAGGAGTTGCACGTTAGCCTTGCCATTTGACAGAAGCTGGACATGGAGGAGACCCTTGCCTAAGGAGGAGGCCTGGGGTGACCAACCACCTCTACCTATCATACAACCTACATGGCCATGGTCTTATGAGAGCTGGCAAAACAGTTGAAGCAAAAGTTGAATGAAACCATGCCTGGGTGGCTGCTATAGCCAAGAGACAAGGGGACTCATGACATGCAGTTAAGCCCACAGGAGATGTCCCAGATAGCTAGCACCCCTTCTCTGTGACAGGTTCTACAGGATATGCAAAGGACAGTCCTGTGGACAGTCCTGACAAACTGGAAAAAGCTGATTAATGGCAGCTTTCTGCTTCAGTAAGTCATGAAAAGAACAATCTATCTAGACTCAGTAACTATGAGAGATGGGTACTGGGAGAGATGCACATGTGACAGGTGATGTTCACCATGCAGTGCTGTAGCCCTGACCAGGAGCTGCTTGTGGAATGAGTCAAGGACTTGGTCCTGGCAAGGGGGCCACCTGGTATGTTTAGAACAGATGTGGTGCTTGAAGGTCCCTTGATAGATCATCCAATCGGCGATGCTGTGGACACCTTAGCCCAGCGAGGGGATGTGGAAGTGAAGCACTAAGCTAAGGCAGGACCTATAAAAACTGTGACCGGGCTACGGGGCCATTGAAAGCCAGCTGGTACCAAATTTGTACAGATGGCTGGCGGCCAGCTGAGCCACCGATGATACAGAGGTCTCTATGGTGGCGGCTGTGCCCTGAGCAACAATGCTGGCCAATGGGCCCAAAGGCGAAGGCAGTCAGGATCAAGCGAAATGGTGTGACATTGGCTTCCTTTTATCTAGGCAGAGGTACCCAGCTAAGAGGACCCCAGAGAGACTGAAGGCCACATGTGGAACTATTCGTTGGTCCCTAAAGAACATATAGCATGGACTAGCACTGATGGACACCACAGCTAGATCAACACTAATATATGGCAAGCTGGACTGCTCTATGGGACGTACTTCATGCCTAGCAGGGTACAGAGGTCATCATCCATAAAGCCCAGGTGACACTGGGTATTGGGCACTTGGCTCCATGCCCTCATCGTGTCTATATTTCCCTGGTTGCTGAATACGTGCTACGGGTGGACGTACTGACTGGTGCACCGCTTAACCCGAGGAAAGAATTCTCTTTGTGAATGTGCCAGTAAAAACCGTAGTCTGAAGACATCTACACTGTGCACCACTGACTCTCCTGCAGGCTATACAGGAAACTGTGCATACAGCAATATTGTCCACCTGTGGGCATGAGGAAACAGTACAAATCACTTTGAGATTAGAAAAAGTAGGGGTGATGTGTCCTACACATGGCCCTCTCAGCTCCCTGATGCAGCCCGTATGAGAGCTTGGCATGTGGGCCAAGGGACTAGATTACCAGGAACTGAATAAAGTAACCCCTCACTTCATGTTGTCAGTGCCTCTTGCACACTGGATGGACTGGCTCACCCTGATGTTCGGTTGATACCATTAGTATTGTGGATTTGGACAATGCTTTCTTCTCCATTACTATCATATCTGATGGTCAGGATCAATTTGCCATACTCTGTGTCACTATTCTATTGTATTGATGATATGATGTTAACCTCTGATTGTCTTACAGATTTGGAAGCTGCCACACACAGTGAAGGAAGCCTTTCTGGCCTGGGGGTGGGCCATCAAGGAACACAAGATCAAGGGATCTGACTTGTCTGTCAGATTCTTGAGTGTTAGCTGATCACGTAAGATGCAAATAATTCCCAGTGCCATTACTGATAAAACCACAGACCCACAACGATATGCTGATTTCAGGCAGATGTGGGTTTATGGGCCTTTTGGTGGATGTTTAGACTATCTCTAGCTACCCTGCTGTGCCATTTGTAGCAGATGCCCCAAAGGAACGCAACATGGAACTGGACAGATGGAGCAGAAGCTGCTTCTCGGGACTCGAAGAGGGCATTTGCACAGGTGCAAGCCCTCCGAGTCATTAATCCCCACCCTGTCATGAATCCTAACACTGAGTGTATCTGATGATGGGTTGGGCTGAGGCCTATGGTGAAAGCAAGGGAGGCGGAGGCACCCTACTGGGTTCTGGCTGCAGCTGTGGACAGGAGCTGAAAGCCAGTATTGCCTAACTGAGAAACAGTTAGCAGCAAGATGTGCTGCTCTGTCTGCCTATGAAGGGGTCACAGGGCACAGTGGATGTAGAGGATAAATACCTGACAGAGGGCTAGGTCCCAGTGTGGACATCTGTCCCAGGGGTGGAGTGGCTCAGGACCCACCTCAAGCAATGGGGTGTTGACATACTGCAGTAGGTCTTTTCAGATAGCCCATTGGCAGCCAAATGGGCAACAGTACTGAGACTAGTGGTCTACACAGCACAGAAACCATGCAGAATGATGGAGTACAGTTTATGACACGTAGCACTCATGCAGAAGGGAAAGACTCAGCTGACACCAGGAATACCGATGGGCCCAGCTGTGGCACAGCCTCACAATGGACTGCAGGCCTTGTCCAGCCCAGCATGGACAGGCTCTAGCTCAAAACTGGAATGGACAGATCAAAGCAATGGGCAGAGTTGCAGTTAGTGTGGTTACTTGTAATGCATGAAGAAGCCCCCTCCTCATATATTTGCATAAACAACTGGGCCATATTTAGGGGGTTGATGTTTTGGTAAATGGCTTGGGTGGCCCAGGACTGGCACTGACCCTTGTAGGACACTGACCTGTGGTGAGACTTACGAGAGTGTGGCCAAACCACTAGCCATGCAGTGTATCACACTTAGGAATAAAACCTTCCTCTTACTGGGGAATGACATAGCAGATGGATGCCTTCATGAGAGTAGTTGCTCTGTATGGATTACCATCTGCAGGGACACTGTGGCTCCATAAGAAACCAGGACACATAGGGCCCATACCACACAAGCCAGACCACAGTGATGGCACCTAGCTGCACTCCCACTGAGTCAAAGGCTGCAATAAAGGTGTGTCCACAGTGTACCCATTTGGCCCCCTGGAGGAGAAAGGTGCCCACACAGCTTGGCATGATACCATGCACATGCTACCCTCTGCAACAATGGCAGGTGGATTACACCAGGCTCCTGACTCTTTTGCAGGGACACAGATATGCTCTGACTGCTGTGGATGCAGCCACAGGTGTAGGCTGTGCCTGCCCCATTCCCTCTGCTGACCAAGCCCACACCATTGAGGTACTACAAAACTGACTGCTGTATATGGGATGCCACTAGGGATAGCATTTGACCAGGGAACCCATTGCCCAGGTACAACAGTGGGCCAAAGACATTGATGTCACATGGCACTTCCATGTGCCCTACTGACTTCTGGCAGCTGATATGATTGAGAGGAACAAGGGGCTTCTGCAAACCAAACTGGACTATTTGGCTCCAAAGCTCACCATGCATGTGTGGGCCTCACCTTAGTGCTCCAGTTGCACAGGGACCAGTCCTGATGTATGGGTGACAGTCAGCCCATTGAATGGCTTCTTGAAAGCACAACCTGCCCATCTGTGTATCGGATCCACAGAACAAGGGCCTACGTTGATGACAGGGGGCTTAATCCTTTCTGCTGTGAAAACTATAGGGCCAGGAGCCTGCTATCAATGGACTTGGGGTTGGCCCACAGATGCCCTGGTGGGAGGTTGGGTGTTCCTCTTGGAGCTGTGGGGGATGGGACTAGGATATGCCATAGAAGCAGAGCCCTGGCCTTCAACTCAACTCTAGAGGACTCCAGTGTGCTCTCCACCAAAGCCACTGTACTAAAAGGCAGTGATGTTGTGGCTGCAAGGCCCATCCCCCTGGGAGTGGTGGACCCAGCCCTAACTCCTAGGAACAATGGGAATCCAGATTTGGTATTCTTAGCCAGGGGGTAAAATGATTCTGGCCACAGTCCTATCGCAGGATGAACATGTAGCCTACATCCTCCCAGACAGGTGGGACCTCCTCTAATGGTTGCTCTTTCTGCCCTGTCCTTCCAACCAAGATAAGCCACACTAACAGAGTCATCACATGGGCACACACGTTTGTCCATGTACAAAGACAAGCCCATTGTTTGGTCTGTGCTGAACCTCTGACCAGTGCAAATGGAGACTCATGCTGGCATCCCTGCAGATTGGACTGATCGGTTGCAGCAAATCCAGATTGGCTCTGCCCCCTATCTGCAATGCCAGGCTGTGGAGGCACTGATCCAGAAAAGCACAACCATCCCTGGGGTGTTCTTGTTATATAAAATGGCTGAAGGCTGATGATGGAGAACCAAATGACATTGCTGGGTGTAGCCCCACTTTGTATTCAGCAGGTGAATATGGCGGTGGGTAACTGCACCGTAGCTTGCATATCACTTGACCTGGGTGACTGTACAATATTGATAATGCATGTTGTAGGGTAATAATAATAAGGTTCTCTTCTGGAGGGATAACAACTTAAGTTTTCAGACCAAAAATTAGAGAAAAAGAAGGGCTGCAAGGACAGCCAACATTTGGCCCTAGCCTTTCAAGGTCAGTGAGGACTCAGGACATAGGAGAACCTGTTATAGAACCTGTTCTATAACATCCTGTAACTCAGTGGCGTCCCAAATTTTCTGATCAAGGAGATTATGGGGCCACTAGAAGAAAGTGATCAACAATGTAGAGTGTGCCTAAGGAGAGTCACATGGAGAGAAAACACTCTCTCAGGTTTTCACAGAGCACAAATTTGTCAAGCCATGGCTGTGACTCATCCACATGGTTGACACTGACAAAGGATCTACAAACTGGTAAAGGGTTTCACAATAAATCCTGAGGGGACTTGAATGACCCTGTCAGATACAAAAGTTACATTTCTTGTTATATAGTTCTTGCTTTATCTTGGTCTTAACCATCCAGTAGAAAAGTATAAAAACAAAGTATAAATGTAAAGCCATATTAATATGCAGAGCTATAAAAGGCTCAAGTCAACAACTTCTGACATTGCCAGTCTTACGGAAAACCCTCCACTATTATGGACTACTGGACTATATTGTAATATTTTGTTGAATTTACGCACCTACAATATTTAAATGACAATAGAATACCCATCTCTGATAAAACTAAACGAAAAAGGGGGACACAAACGAAGGACCATTTTGTATCTGTATATATAAAATAGTTAGGAAAGATATATAACTACTTTTTCTTAATTCAGAAGGATTTTTTTTTTTTTTGCTCTGAATGCCTTCAGGGCAGGTTGGCTGGCTTGAGTTGTGGGGATCTAACCACAGCAACCTGAGCCTGACTGCTTTGTTGAAGCAGCCACTTACAGAACTCAGCTAAGGGGCAGGCCCCCTCTTAATGAGTAGAAAGATTTGCACTAATAGTGTCTGCGGACAGTATATCATGTCTGCATCTTGTACTATGAATAACCACTAAGAAGACAACAATATGCAATGTATTAATTACTGAAACTGTCATACTAATCAGTTTTTAAATGGTCTCATTGCTATATGTTTCTTCATAAAATTATTTTTTAAAAAAAGATAATGGGTACAGGGCTGGAGAGATGGCTCAGTGGTCTAAAGCACCTACTTAGAACAAGCTTAGCAAAAGCATCAGGGACTGCGGTTCAATCCCCCAGCACCACATGCC